TATCCACACTAGAAAGGAACATTTGAATGTAATAATCATCTGATTTACATGTGAGGGTGAGGGTGTGCATGGGAGTGTGTGCGTATTGTATCTGTCATATCCACACGCACACCCCACCCATCACAAGCAATAAATTTCTTTAAGAAAGAATATACATCCCGACTTGCTCGGTGTAAACATACTGTCATAATGAGCACTTAATTTTTCTCGAATCAAATAGAGCAAAAATAACAAAAACTAATAAATAACACATTCTCATACAAAAAGATAATATCATCAGAAACATCCTCATTCGTTAATCTATGATCTTTACTATTATTTCAATTGGAGAAATTACTTTATCTCTATTTTATCAAATAAACATGAATGGAATCGTTATATTTCCAGAAAAAAAAGATTTCTTCCTATAGTAGATAATGAGGCAAATCCATAGCATAGCAATAGAATATATTAATGGATATTCTTTTTTATCACTACACTCACACCGTCATGTGATATTATAAAAAAATATAGATGATACTTGAAAAACTATATGAAAAAAACTTTCGGATACTTCAGTTGTATCTATGATATCTGACCTTTTTTTGTAAGTTACATTGAAAAAAACAGGATTTGCTAGAAAATAAACTTCTTTAGTTTATAAAAATAAAGAGTTTGTATATTTATTCTTTCTTATAAAGAATAATAAAAATAATGAAATATTTGGAATTTCAATCAGATTAGACAAGTAAGAATCAACTAACAATATATGATTGATGTTTTTTCATTAAATAGCCTCTTATAAGTTATTATAAGTAATTGATCAACTTCTTTTGATCTCTCTTTGAGCATAGACATACCTGCTTCTTTTGTTGTTGCTGTTGTTGTTGATTCTGGTTCTGCTGTTGTTATCATCATTATTGTTGTTGTTAAATCTGTTTCAACAACGTGTCCCTTTTTCGTCAGAATAATAGCTGTTGGAATAGTAATGATGACTATTATCACAATAATAAATATAATCCACGTCAATTTACTTCGAATACACACACGTCTAAAATAAGAACAACATTTTTCATATATTAAAGCTCAGAATACACATACGATCTTGTCCATTGTGTAGGGTGTGTTTCACCTATATCGCTGTTAACTGACTGAGGCTACAAAGTAAAGAAAAAAAAGAGTTAGTTTTTGTTATTTCCTATAATAAATTATATCACAAACACGTATTCTGTTTTGTTTCTCCATTTGTAAAGCCTCGTCAAAAATCTTGCAGTGTTATAAAATTAAATCTAAAAACGAATTCGGAAAAAGATGATATAAAAAAACTTTCACTGCATAGAATTTCTTTCTTATAAAATATAATTACTTCGATATTACATAAAAACTATCTGAAACAATAAAGATTATATCATATCTTTAAAACAGAAGATTTTCCTGTTAAAAAAAAAGAAAATACTCTCAATTCATATGATAATAATGCAAATACATTGTTGTAATTAATGATCTTTCGTAAGCACAAACGAAAACAGCCAATGACATGAAAGTCAAAAAAGATAACGATCAATATAGAAGCCTTCAAGATAATATACCAGCATTTAAGTAAAAAAGTCTGAAAAAGTATTTGCCTTCTCCATTGTTTCCTCACTGACAGGAATGTGTGTGTCTACATATATATTAAAACTGAGGAAAAATTTGTCTTTTTCTTTTTTCCTAACATACATCACTTTATATGTCAATATTCATTCAATTTAATGAAGGCATTCTCTCTCACTTTTTTCTTTAACTCTCATGACTTCATATATCAGGATAGGATGCATTTTAACCCTTTACGGCCAACTACCAGAAGACAACAAGCAAAAAGTTATCTTTCTATATATTCTTTGTTGTTTAGTTACAGGGATCAATTTTTCACGGCTAACTTTTAAAAAAATGCCGTACCCCCTGCGGCAAAATTGTTACCTTTTGGTAAGGGTGCAGGTGTGGGTGACATTAGGAGATTAATACTACACCCACCCAGCTGGGTATGACCCAGAACACTGGAGTCAGTTGTTTTGCAATATTTAATACAATTTTAAATTACAAAAGATCTTATTCTAAGGTATAACATGATAAAGAATCAGCTCTAGTAATTTGTTCCTTTTAGAATGAGTGTATTATATTTTATACTCATGAATGCTTGCTCTATGCACTTCATTTATTTTATTTCGATAAAAGAATGACTAGTAGAAATATTTAAATGTGATTAGAGATCATAACTGTTCGCATATTTATTTAACCCACTATGTGAACATTGCATTTATTTTAATAGAAAATAATTGTATGATTGAAAAGAAATGCAATTCAATTATAGTATTAACGATATATATTCACTTCGAGAAAAAGAATACATTAAACGAGTAAATTTTTAAAGCTTTTTGAAATAATGAAATGTTTATACTTTCATCGATTGCATATTTATGAAGTATGTTTATCCATTTATGTTTGTCTATGCATGATACATTTCCTTTTGGCGTCATCATACACAATTATGAATGAGAATTATCATTTCTAGTTTATGCTAATCAGTAAATTCTTATCAACGAAATAAAACATGCTTATTGTCTAATATCATTGACTACAATCAGTAATGTGACTGATAATGTCAATGGAGATTTTACAATATTCTATCGTATTACTATATGTATGAGAAAATTATTTATTGAATTGGATAAAATATATATTTCGAAATTGATGACTCAATCAATTATTAAAAATCCTATATGTCATGCTAAGAGAAATAATGTGTGATATATAATAACACCAGCTCAATCGCTGCAATTCATTTTTCATGCTTAATCTTTCTTGTCGGTTAGTTTGTTGATTGTGTGATCAATATTTTTGAATATTTCCCTACACGAAAGATTATTATGAACATCAAATAATCCAATCGTTTTTTGTCAATAGCAACCAATCATAATGAATGTATCACTTACAGTCAAAGAGAAAAAAGAGAGATTCTTTTCTTTCTCTCTCTCTCGCTTAGTTATTACTTATTATCAGACACATATTTAACTCATAACTCTAGCGTAAGGTTGAACTATTTAAATTTCTTTGAACATATTTTTGAAATTCTTTAGTTGAATAATGCATGCTGCTGCCACTTATTCTCAACATTCTAACGATTATCCACCATTTTTATCTTACATGCGTAATCATCATTGTTCAAATGATCTAATTCGTACCGATATGTCTTTCACCAATTCAAATCCAACACATTTACTACCTTATAATGATTATAATATTGGGCTTGATTTATCGTCCTCATCATCATCGTATTCAAATGGTATCAAACAATTACAAAGTGATGATGAAAATGATAATCCTCAATCTTTATCATGTTCACTCAATAGTACAACACAAAACTCACTAATACCATTAAAAAGACGTTCTCGTCGTGTTGCAACTGAAGAAAAAGATGAGACGTATTATCAAAAACGTGAACGAAATAATCAAGCAGCAAAACGTTCACGTGATACACGAAGAACTAGAGAACAACAAATTCAAGATCGTGTCAGTCATTTAGAAAATGAAAATTCACGTTTATCATTAGAAAATCAAGCATTTCAATATCAACTTTCTCAATTTCATCGTTTATATAATGGAATACCCAAGCCATTACCTTAAAAAAAAGAAATAGACTATTGTATTTTGTTTAATTAACCTATTGAATAAATAGATTTTTCATTGTTGTCTACAAATATCAACGTACAAGTTGTTTGTTGTTAAAAGAAAAGAAAAGAAAAGAGGAAATGAGTTTTAGAAGATAATTCAAATATACATAAAGATTTATAAACTTCGTTGTTTCTTTTCTTATATAATCAAATCAAAATAATATTCTCGTTTTTCTTAAATAGGTATCTTCATAAGTATTTCATATCTATTTAAAGTTTATTTATTATTAGTAAGAAAAGATAAAATATAATAGGAAGTGTCTTGAGTAAAAATAATGCTTGATTAATTAAAAATATAGCTGCTAATTTTATTCTTGTGTAACTGATTTGCTTGCGTGATAATTTCTTTCTGGATCTAGTATAAGAACTGGTTTTGGTAAATCAATAAACATAGTTGGAATATCGCCTGCAGAATCAGTATTTGTTATTTTTTCAGTTGAATCATTGTTCCTATCAAAAAAATATATATACAAACAAATTCATAAAAAATTTCTAAACTTACTTTTCGTTGTGATTAGAATCATTGGTTGATTGGTTACCTTGATGTTCGCGTGCTTGGTCCATTTCGATGGTTGAAAAAATGAATAACTTAGAGAAAAGGTAAAAACGATAGATACGTAAATAATAATTATTTTTTTCGTTTCTGCTGTTATGCAAATAACGATACGCTCGTTGGCGAAAATAAATTATATGTAATTATACTAACTGCATAAATATTATAACGAAGAAAATATTCACTCTCTTACCTGCATTATTTTTTGTTTTGAAGTATTTTCTCTTTGCAAGACAGTCATGTTTGTTTCGTTGGATCAATGAAATAATAATGAAGAAAATTTTCCTAGATATTTTTGAGAATGAATCATACAGTGAGGGCCGTAAAAAGCATGCATGTTTTTGCTTTTACACGTAAACTAATAATAAGGATATTCTAAAAATTTTCTCTTATATCTAGGTTTGTACAGCTTTTTTCACTGATTACTTTGGTAAAACGATTTTTTAATTTTCATTTAGTAATGATAATATTATTTTCAATAAATTCAATGATGAAATGACACATGAAACACTCGAAAATTAGTGCATTTTAAAGAGCATCATTTACTCTTTTAAATGATACGGTGCTACCTTTTGAGCAATGTCCTACAGAAATATCAGAACGTCTTTAGTTGTGAAAACTAATTCAAGGTATAATTTTCAGTCACTTTCCTATTATTTTCCATACTATATTTTGAAAACATTGTAATAGTTGTGTAGAACATTGCTCAGAAGGGAGCAACATATCATTTGAAAGAGTAAATGATGCTCTTCAAAATGCACTAGTTTTCGTGTATTTTATGTGTCATTTCATGGTTGAATTAATTCAAAATAAGGAATATTATATCTAATTATCAGCGATCATAGTCTGAAAATCACAATAAAACCTCACCGAATTCGTTAGTTCCGAAATAGTTATTATATAGTTTAGTTCAGTTCTTTATGCTCTTTTCAATGGTATAGTTGAAATTAAAAAACAAATTAAAGTTTTATTAACTAATTAGTATTAATTAATTAACTAACTTCAGTAAAAATAGGAGTGCTTTACATCAAAATGTAGCCCATCAAATTCTGCATCGAATGGTATACCGAATATCTTTCAAATGTTGTAAAATAACGTAAAAATTAGCCAATTACTAAAAACATGCTAAGTTCTTTTTCTATTTTTTACTACAGTTTTTAGTATTTTGGCTATAATATGTCATTACGCGATGAAAATTAAAAAATCTTTTTACCAAAGTAATCAGTGAGAAAAGCTCTACAAACCTAAATATAAGAGAAGAGTTTTAGAATATCCTTATTATTGATTTACGTGTAAAAGCAAAAACATGCATGCTTTTTACGGCCCTCACTGTAACGATAAGAGAAAATACATTAAATTTGCAAAAAGAGTATATTATGAAAACTTGGATTTAGAAAAAAAAGAATAATATGAATGTTATTGATAATTTTATTTTATATATTATTATCAAGATCTTCATTGATCCAAGATGGTGGTTGAAAATTTTCAATCATTGACCAAATGAGAGCTAAAATAAAAATAAATATTCAGTCGCTCATTATATTTCATTAAAAGAACAGAAACAATGATCTTATCAATAAGATTACTTACATTTCCATTGTGCCGTAGTCTGGTTAGCGTCTTGATGTTCATCAATCACAGGTTCTCCCGATGGTTCTTCCTCTGGATCATGAAGGTCTGAGAAAAATGGATGAGCTAAATAATAAATATGACGTATAAAATAGAGAACTCAATCAGTGCTAATATTCTGATAATTTACCTAATGCTTCTTCAGCAGATGGACGTAAACGAGGATTAAAAGTTAGCAGACGATCAAGTAAAGCAATACCTTTAAAGAAATAAAATAGGTAAGATTAATCTATTTGTTGTTAATTTACCATGTGGTGAAACACCAGATACTGGAGCTGCTTGTCCCGACTGATATCTGAAACCGAACAGCTGATTAAAATCGACGTGTGCTCGAGGTTGCAATGTACTTATATAATTTATTGCTTCTAAAATATTTTCGGTATAATTATGATTATATTGTGTAATATAAAGAAATTCTACTAATAAAATGATGATAGCTAAAATAGTATCTGTTTCCAGTATCAATGAGTACTTATGGTTTTCAAATTATGAGTATTTTTATGTTCGTTTCTTTTTTGTTCTTATACAAACCTGGAGTACATGTTTCATTTAATGTAGCCAAGTCGGGTGTACCAATAAGGTCGAATATTCTATTTAATTGTTCTATATGATCGTCTGAGCGAAATATTGGACTAAGTAGGATTAATTCTGCCATTATACAACCAACTGACCATATATCAAGCTTATCATTATAACGTTCCCAGCGAACAAATACTTCTGGTGCCCGCCACCATCTGTTAAACAAAATGTATCTCAATCCTTAAAATTAAAAACTATATAGTATACCTCGTAGAAACATAACCAGTTTGAAGATCGTCCGATGAAACACGAGCTAAGCCAAAATCAAGAATCTGTAGAAAAAAAAATTACAAAAAGGAATAAATACTATCGATCGTCAGTACTCTGATTTCTTTTACTATATAAGTACACACTTCCATTTTTCTTATTCGAAAAGATGACTAACTCATAGAAAAGGAAGTCGAGTATGATCAAATAAGGTTGAAAAAAATGAATATGCCGAAATACGATATATCAATCATAACTATTTATAAAACTTACTGAGACATTGGAATTTTCATCGATTCCAATATTTGCTGGTTTTAAGTCCTATTTTAAAGAAATAGAAAAAGAATCATATTATATACGACAACATTTATATATGGAGTCAATTTACGCGATGAATAACACCAGCTGAATGCATAAACTAAACAAAAACCATGGAAGTAATATTACATTGAATTAATATTCATTAAGATTAGAATTATACCTTAAGACCACGAAAAAGTGAATAAATTATTTGTTTAATATGGTCTTCAGTAAATGCTATACCACGTCGAATAACTTTACCCAAGTCATAATGACAATAATTAAATACGAAGTATCTAAAAAATAATATACTCATTTTTATCAAACAAAATTATTCTATAAAAGAAAACATACAATGTTTGGAACTGATTTACATCCTGTTCGGGTGAAAAAACATTATATATTTGCACAATCTTAAATAGAAATAAATATAGATATTATTTATAGAATATAGAAGAACTAAATTTTTACGAACTTGTGCATCCGGATGATTGAGATGCATGAGAAGTTTAAGTTCACGATAAGTTCGTTTTGCATGTTCTGGAGTTTGAAATGGGCTAAACATCTTCTTAATAGCTACTTGTTTACCTGTTTCCTAAATAACAATATATTTCGAAGTTATTTTTCTTGATTATCACAAATTGACATACTGTATCAGTCGCTCGACTACAAATATAATTTAACTATTAGAAGAATAAAATATAATAAATATTTGAACTTACATGACAGAACCAAAAGCTCCTTGTGCAATATGAGCTGGGTTTTGATATCGTATCGGTAATGTATATGTATGAATACTACAAGTCACTGTATGCCATTGTGTTTGATCTGTATTAGCACCGGTAGTCATGGCTGATTTTGCTAAAATGAAAACATCAAGACACAGACACGTGTATTTATATGATGTTGATCGTACAAACAGAAAATAATGACGTCATCTGTCGGTTGCATCGAACAAAAAAAAGTACGAAGAAAGAAAGAAAGAAAGGAAGTAGAAAAATGTGTTGATTTCAGGTAATACAATAGGAGGAAAAATCCAAACAAATAAATCAAACTTATCTTGAATAGGTAATTTCTTGTGCCATTGCGAAATTTACATGACGATTTTGATTAAAAAAAAACAAAGAGTGAAGTACTCGCCGATTCAATCGAGTTTATTTAGAAGGATGTATCCAATTATATACGATACGAAACAATCTAAGATGGAATAATCTTAGATTAAAAAGTATCGTTCTAAGTTTAAAGAAAAAATCTTCATCAATCTCAATTAATTGTTCCCAATAATCACTAATACGTGGTTCTTTAAGTATATTTGATGCAATTTCACTTCGATTTCGATAGTAATTTAAAATATCCATATGATTTGATGATATTTGTCCTTGCATTTCTATTATTTCATTTTTCCATAATAATTGTGTTTCATAATTAATTCTATTATTATACATTACATTAAGATCAATTAAACCACATATTTTTTCTGCATTTTCAATAAATAAAAATTCTTCATGTTTTACATGTTCAACAAGAATTTCTAATCGTTCATTACATTTAATTACTAAATCATATGTATCATTATTATCATTTAGAGTTGGTATATTTACTACACTTTTGCTTGCAAAAGATTGAATACTATCAAGATTTGTTCGATTAAATAAATCATTATCAAGCATTTGGTTAATCTTTTCAATGGTTTCTATAGTTATATATTCAATATTTTTACCATCGTGTTCTAATGCATTTAATAATTCTGAATATCCTTCAGCTCCTGGTATCTTTATTCTTTTATGTGACATATAGATCAAAATAAATCAACAAATC